TTGAAAGGCGTTAGCCATCTCCCAACGCGTCGTCCCCTGTAGGTCAGTGCACCGGTAACAAATGAGCTCTTCACCTAGCTTTACAAGCCTCGGCGACACTGACGCGGAGTCCCTGTCAGTCACCACCTCGGTCGCACATTTCCTTAGCTTCACAAGGCTTTAGCCATCTTCCAATGCGTCGTCCCTTGCAAGTCAGCGCACGGTTGCAAGATGTGCTCTTCACCCAGCTTTATAAGCTTCGGTGCCACTGACACGGGATCCCCTGTGGGTCACTGCCTCGATCGCACATTCCCTCAATCTTTATGAAGTGCCTTTCCCTAACGCGTCGTCCCATTTGGGTCGGAACATCAGTGGCGAATGTTTGCTATTTTCCCAGCGGAATCACCTCATACGACTCAACGAATGATCGACCCAGAGGACGCCCCACCCACATCACCTCGGTTATCACTCGCCTCAACCAACAGGTGTTCGGCACATCTGCTCACTTCACCCTTTTACGCCAGCACCTCATCAGAATCCACAGTACTTACTCCAAGGTCGGCATACACAGTCGGGAAAACAAGTCCACCCATGATATAAATATTTATGCCTGAACTTGGGGAGACCATTGTTACGCCCCTAACCAAGCCACTTCCACTTCGACACTAAAACCACTTCAACACAATGTTACATCACTCTCCAAAGCTCCACGCGTCCACCCGAAGTAGTTCCAGAGCGATGCCAATTCCTGACGACCTCAACATGACGCTGTAAGGTGAATAGATCCAATGAAGCAACCGGAGTGTCCTTCAACGCCGAAGGGTTAAAGGACCCAAGGCACTCCCTTAACAGATCCCTCGACCGCCACTGTCAGAACGATATTTGTCAGGATCTTGACGTGATGTCTCTATAGATCTAATTGACATGACACATCGACTTTATGTCAACTCAATTGAGAAGAACTAATTGCCCGCCCACGCTAGACGCGGCTGAGTGATGCCTATAAGCAGACACCTCACACCGTCAGATGCATACACGTGTCACACATCCAACGGTGCTCTACACCTATAAATATCCAAGGTTTGGCAAGAGACAAATGTAATGAAAACTCTGATAACTTAGCTTTCCATACTAAGAAACGTATGTTCTCCTTCCCACTCTCTTGCACCACTAGAGCACTGATCCGATCACCCAACGCTGACTTGACCATCGGAGTGTATGCGGCCGCCGCCGCCACCGCTGGTCTCGATCGTATGCTTCTAACCGTGCATTGTTGTGCGCAGGGAGGATTACGTGGAGTGGCTAGCTGTTTGCCACGTGGTGGGTCCAAATATCGAGGTGAACGGATTCATTTTTCTTTTTATCATGGACATGATATGCATAATATTTTGATGAGACTCAAATTAAAAATATTTATATTCTTTAATATTACTATGTTGAATACCCCATCACATAGAAGACATTTTTATTTGCTTAAATCAGTGCAAAATCTTCTCTCAAGTCCATGGGACACATATAAGCAAGGATATCGATACATAAATTTGAGGCTCTACACGAACATAATTGTTGGTAATAGAAGATTCTTTTAAATACTCTCGGAGTCGAAGACGTAAGAAAATATGAAAATGCTATATGGTTGATTCGATGTTCAACGCCAGTTTAGGTGATAGTGAGCCGCACTAGTTAATTTCCAATGAATTAGTGAGGCTTAGAGTCACTTAGTTATGTGCTAAACACTGGTAGTACTATATAATATTCTTCTAAAAAGTAACATTTAACATACATAAATATTACATGTTATCTCGCATCGATAAATTTCAAAAATTACTTTAATTCCCCTATTCTTAGCTCACATTTTTCCAAATCACGATTCATCATATTATGTGTTTATGGAGTGTGAACTTGATGCTGACAGGTGAGTCCTTAATTGATTTTCTTTAATATAAGAGAATTTTGTCAAAGGTGTCGGTGTAACCAATTGTAATCCCATCAAAACAAAATTATTGGCATGTGCTTTTGCCTTTTTTTGTCCCATCAAAATTTCCTCCTCAACCCACAAAAATGTTTTTGTTTGTGGGGTTGGTGGGTAGGGGGAAGGGCCTTATAGGGATAGGGATAGTAACCGTGGGGTGATCCCGGTGGTGGCCTTCGACATGGGGATGGAGGTGAAAGCGAGGATAAAATATACTCACTTAATTTCCAATATATTAATTAGTTACACTTTATTTTATTATTTTACATTTTCAAAATACGAATCAAACATTAAAACATAAGAAAATAAAATAAGAAAAGAGATTCTATACAAGTTTGGAAAATTCAGGTTATGATGATATTTCTTAAAAACGCAATTAAGAATGTTTTACCGCAACTACAAAAGCTTCAGAATTTTTGGTACATTCAATCGCAATGACTAAGAAAGAGATGTGTGTATATATTTAGTAACAAAGTACAATTATATATTTAGTAATGAATAATAATATATATAGTTAACTTTATCGAGAAAAATATATAGTTTTTCGTATAACGTAATTCTAACACCCAAGTAAAATAATGTTTATTTACTATTTTTAGTTTTATTCAATTCCACATAAATATCTAACATGCAAATATTGGTTAACGGCCGAATTCAATAAGTTACTAAGCCAAAAGAGAGAGGGAAAAAAAAATCACAAAAATAAGAAAGAATCATATGAACTGTTTGGAGTTATCGATAAATTAGCATCGGATTCCCTCTCCTAATTAATTATTAAATAAAATAAACACATTTTAACCTCACTCCTAATGATAAAATTCGGCCTTTTATGAAAAACGATGATTCAATTAGAAACAAGCAGTTGAACTTACTCTTGTCAATTTATTGCATTTGGTAGGTAACTTTTGAACCTTTATATTTGTCTTCTTCGACTCTTTTCAGTATTTATTTTGCCTATTTTTCGACCTTATAAGCAGCATCTTTGACTAAGCTTAGATATAAGTACTTAAGTTAAAATAAGTTATTATAGAAGGAAAGTTAAAATTAGTGTAGATTTAGGTCACTATCACTAACGTTAAAAAGTGAGTTCATAGGTCTCTCAACATTTTTAAATCTATGAATCTAGGTCTTCGTGTGGTATATATTGTCAATGTAGAAATTAAAATTTTATGAAATTTAAAAAGCGACTTAAAGTTGGAGGACAATCTTTAATTTACTTCATGTCCAGCTTTAAGTCACGCAAAAATTGTATGCAAATTTTAATGTCTACATTGACAGCATGTGTCATTTGACAATCCAAAATCTTTAGTTTAAAAGTTGGAGACCGAAAACTACATTATTTAAAACGTTGAGGAACCAACACAATTGTTCATGTCATAAAATATAGGGAAAACTGCAACAACGGTCCCTAATCTATTCATTTTTTACAAACTTTACCATAACTTTTATTTTGTACCAACTGGGGTTCCTAACTTTTCTTAAATATGTATCTGAGATCCATCTGAACGGAAACCGTCCAAAACATCGTAAGTTGACAGGGAAAATTAAGGAATCAACGTCCAATAAAACTGTCCAAAACACCGTCCAAAAACATCATCCAAAAAGCCATCAACATCCAATAAAATCATCGCAGTAGCAGATAGTTCAAAGAATTTTTCCAGTCAATTAATAGTGTTCTGGGTAGTTTCCGTCCAGATGGACCTCAAATACATATTTAGAAAAGTTATGGACCTTTACTGACACAAAATGAAAGTTAAAATAAAATTTGCAAAAAATAAAAATGTTAGGGACCGTTGTTGTAATTTTCCCTAAAATATAGATAATAATAAGTCTCTGTTTGATCCTTATTCCTTAAAAAAAAAAATAATAATAATATTCACTCATTTTTAATGACACTTTTCAAAAAAATCACTATTAAAAATGGGGCTCACGCAAACCTTAATATCATAGTTAATTTTACAAGTAACTTATTACTTAGAATTAAAACTTTATAGCTTAGGCAAATATGTACGTGTATATTATATTGCCCTTGTTTGACAATCGTTCTTTTTCATTTTTTTCTCGTATTTATTTTTAATCATACATTCTTATAATAAAATATTTTTCACGTGAATCCAAAATTTGTCCTTACTTTTTAATGATAATTTACTATTCAAAACTCATTCTTTAAATTTTTTTTTTTAAAAAATGTCAAATAGGAGCTATCTATTCTTCAATTTTTAGTATTGCCCGTGAAAATGTTACAGAGGAGACAATTATTTTATCTAAATTGTTTCAATAAAAGTTCATTTACATAAAATAATGAAAATTCGTTTTCTATTAAATGACGAATCAAGAATTATTGTTATAAATATTAAGAAATAAATCTCACATCAATAGATTATAAAATAAACAATGAGCATATAACATTTTGAGCTACTCTATTAAAAAAAAAAAAATTTAATTAATTTTTTAAAATAAAATCACAAGTTTTGATATAATATCAAAACTCTTAAGTTCAAACGAGCAATTCTACCAGATTAAAACCAAGAAACAAGCACAAGAGATTATCTATTCAAACCAGCCAACATTTTATTGGCGCATGTTAAGGAATAAATTTCATATCGAAATATTATAAAATAAACAACCAACATATAAAATTTTGGACTAATACTCTTACAAGATTGAAATTTTAATATGAAATGTAAAATCTTAATAATAAAGATAGCAACGAGACTTGAAGTTAGATTGTTGAATGTTGCGTTGCTATGTTCTATTTCATATTTACGTATCAGGCTTCCTACGTTTTAAAAATTGTTATAAGAAGATATAAAGTCGAAAAGAAAAACAATAGCACGTGAATAATGTTATATATCACTATTGATGATAAACAACAATCTAGGTGGTAGTGGACTCCATAAATATGACTGCATGCTTTGATGGACGACCATTATTAGCATAAAAGATTACGTACTGAACGTATTATAATTTTAATTTATATACAATTTTATCATATTTAGTACTATATATCAATTGCACGTACAACTATTACAGAATTACTCACTTAAAATTGAGAGAAAGAGTTAAATAACTAAAATCAACACTTCTTCACTTGCTTTCACATAAAACCAATTACAAGCTCGACCGAACTTCCATTGGTTCATATTTAACATGCCGAGGTTGTATTTGACAATCAATTCTAAAAGTAAAAACATGAAGGGGAAGAGAGAGAGACTAGCAATAGTATCTTGACTTCTTGGACCTATTCTTGGCCATATATAATTTTCTTATATTCTATAAAATCCTGAGGGTTTTTTTTTTTTTTTTCTAGAAATGTGAAATTTTCACATTAATGCAGAGGACAATATAGTAATTTCACTAGCAACGAGAGCCCTTCTTGCAGGGGAGGACGCCCGCGCTGGAGGTAATGGAACTAATTAGTGAAGACGGCCTTGCACCTAAGCTTGAAGCCTTAGCATAACTCGATGAAGCTCCGGCGCCCGAAAGCGTAAAAAAGGCACCATTCAACATTAAGTCCCCTTCCGATCTCCAATTCCAATTTTTCCATTCACTTTCTGGTGCATCCTCGTGTTTTGTCACCTTCACCAAATATGTACTTGTTAGAATCGAACACAATACTATGCAACTCATCTTATTAAACAAGACAAAAATACATGTTTAGTTTGGAGTACTGGACGAAATGTACCTCTTTGTTGAACCGGTCATTTGGAGCAAGAAATCTATTGCCTTGGCTGTTGATGGTCGGCGAAGCACTCCCTCCAATTGCGTACATTTCCCAGTGGGTGTAGTCATTGTTTACCACGTGGAAGTAACCAAGTCTACATCTGCATATAGCAATAAAAAAAATAAAAAAATTACGTCCCACGAATTTTAAACACAATATTGAACAAGATAAAACGGTAACATTGTTGAGTTGATGTTACCTTGGCATTCTTTGAACAAGCCCTTCACCAAAGTGATTAAAGGCAATTGTAACTTGCATGTTCTTGTCTTGGCCATAGGCATCACTATGTCCTAAAAGCATGACCTTATCATGGTGGGTCATATAATTGTTTGAAATGGTAATAGCAGTGGACCCGTGAATGGCATCAATCAAACCATCACGACAATTAGACAAGGTGCAATGATCTACCCACACGTGGCTCCCACCAAAGATCGACACACCATCACCGTCCGATAAGGTCCGCCACCCGTAGTGCCCTGGGGAGTCCCTCACCATAGCATTCCCTCCTTGCTTACAATCATGTATGTTAATTCCGTGAATAATAATGTTAGTAACATATTGTATAGTAATGCATGGACCACCAGCAATGTGTACACTAGCACCCCTTCCATCAATGGTCTTGAATGAGTTCATAATCAGCTCCTCCTTCAATTGGATCACCATATCTCTAGCAAATATGATCCATAATGGTTCGTCTTGGATGACCGCATACCGGAGAGTCCCGGGCTTCGGCGTCACTGGATTATCGTCACCGGAATCCGTGACAACGTAAATTTTACCATCTCTTCCACCAACTGCGTTTTTCCCGAACCCTATAGCGCAATCCGCTAGCTTTTGGCGGTTCGTCTCCCAGTTGGAGTCGCACCGCCAGCAGTCGTCAATGGGATTACCCGTGTTACAAGAAAGGAATCCTAGTTTCCTCCTTGATGCATTGAGCTTCCTGCATTTGAAAAAAATCAAATTAGTTTACGAACAACATTACCGTCATGTCCAATACTGCGTACTAAAAATGCGCATACACGTACCTGTGTACTTCTTCAACTACGAATTCTGGGTTTTGTACTGCTGAAGATGAGGCAATGAGGGATGGGATTTGAAGAGAAATTATAAAAATAAGAAATAGGATTGAAGGGAATGTAGCCATTGGTGGTTATGTCTGATTTGTGAAGTGAGGGACTGAGAAAAATGGAGGGATTGAGGTGTTTATAAAGGGCCAAAACCACCGTGGAAGGTGGCAGGATTATATTATACATGTAGGGTCTCATTTGTTCATTGTAATTACTGGTTTTATTGAGATTCCCATATGGTAGTTTTGGCCGTTAAAAAAGTCCAAGTTTACACAAAAGATTGAAAAACTTGTCCCCTCATTATACCCCACGCAACCCTACCTCACCCACCCCACTCCACCCCAACTCCCACCCACAAAAATGCATTACTTTCTCCGGACTATGATGGGATGAATGAGACTAAAACAGAGGTGCATGGAAGAAGAGTCGAGCTAGTGCAGTATATGGAGCATGTCGATAAACGAGCATTTGCTTTAATTGCTGTTGGAGTATTGAAGTTTCATCCTAAAGGGTAAAACACTTATTAAGAGGATAAGTTTTAGATCTTATATGTTAATTACTATTTTATTGTTTAAATGGTGCAAGATTTAATCATTTATATGTCTCACAAGATGGTGACTAATAGAGAATATTAATCATGCAATTCAATTAGCCGTTTGGTCTTTAAACGTATTGATTGTTTGTTTGAATTTTTTTAACCTGGATTCAATCTTATTTTTGTGTTTAAACAAATACGATATTTTACTCTTAACATGCCCCTTATGATGATTTTTTTGCGTGAAAACATCAATGAAAATCCAAATTTGTTTGAACTTTAGATGAATCGATTTCTCATTTGAATTTTTTTGGACTTCGATACCATGTCGAGTCTTCACAAATAGTCAAGAGATTTTGAAATTGAAGCCAACTTGGGTTAAAAGTCCACATAATTTCAGGTACATGTAGGGTTCTAATCAATGGATTCTTAAAATTGGGAAATGATTTAAGCACATGCTTAGGCGTTTATGTCAAAGTTAATTCACATGAAGTAGTGACAAAAGTCCAATGAAGTTGCAGTTATGAAATGATTATAAAACATATGAAATATTAATTAATAATAATTCATTTCAAAGGAAAAAAATTTACAAATTTCATTGGGGTGGAAAAAATTTTGAAACGAGATTTATGGGCCAACAACCTCTCTCAATTATTATTGACTTTTACAAAAGTGAAAAAATAAATAAATAAAATTGATGTCTAGCTAATTCCTTTCATCCAAAGGGATTTCAAGTCTTCATCTGCTATAGTGAAAGTTGAATCTAAGATGCTAAATTGAAAGGGTTTACCTAATTAGTTCATTTCTTAATATTCATGAATGGGCCGACAAAAGATTTCTATGTATACATAGAATATGTTTTCGTCTTTTTTAACGTTCGACTAGTCATGTTGGGATGTGAAATATAGCCTTCGAAAAATGCAATAATTACAAGTAAATACACACAGTATATGCATACAAAATCCCTCTGGGTCGAAAAGTAACAAGAAGTTGGAAAAACACGTCCAAGTGATAGTATTAAATTTTTCATAGTATTCCTCGTCTTTTGATGGGTAAGCTTTTTTATTTAATTATTCTTCCTAAATAATACTGCAAAATTATTAATCTTGAACTAACATTCTAATTAAATTAATTTCTTAGAAATCTTGAACACCGACACTGATTATATCATTCTTGTTTCTTGATAGAAACTTCTATGTTTTCATTTATTTTTTTGGCAATGACATGACCATTTGTCTTTATAGATAATTCTTCATCTATTTTTGTCAGAAGTAGTGATCTTTTACAATTATTTCATCAAGATCATTACGTTTGTGGCCACTATAAATTAAAAGGCAAGTGGAACATCTATAATAAAATATTATAATACATTGTCCCTCCTTTATTAATTAATCAAAATTGTAGTTAATCAAATCATTCTAATAAATAGAATTTTGGATTTTTTAAAGCATATGTACTAAGACGTCCAACACACGAATTTTTAATAAAATATTAAAAGTTAGTGTTGGAATGATAATCTTTGCAAATAATCATTAGGAGAAGTGCTCTTGCACAAGGCCTGCATGTACAGGGCATCTCACATGGGGGGTGGATCCCATGTGTGCGTACCTGTACAGGCTCTATGGATCCACCCCATGTGTGTGTACTTGTACAGGCTCTGTGCAACAGAGCAGGTAGCACAACCCTAATCATTATTCTCATTGCGAAAATTAGAAATGGAGATTAAAGAATTTTTGTTTGTATTAATTTATTTGGTAATCTTCCCCCAGCCTGGCGTTTCAATGATATGAAAAGGGCATGTCAAGGACGTTTTCGATGGTAGAAAAGCAAGACAACAAGGGACACTCTATCGGACACATATATTGATATTTTCAATTGCATTGGATATTCGCGAACCTAATGCAGTAGCAAAAGAATGGATACAATTTTGATTTTAAATTTGTTGAGAATAAAATTTATTATTATTTTTAAATGAATGTTGAAATGTGTATATTTTATATTATTTGTTCTTGTGAACATGTTGAACATTTCATCATATTTTTATCTATAGTTATTAAAGTTGAGGGTACTCAAGAAAATAACAGAGAAACCGAGCAAAATTAAAGACAAGAAATTAACTTGCATGATTGTTTCATTTTTATTGTGATATAAACAATGTAAACTTTTACTTAAAAAATAAACTAAACTTTTAGTACACATATTTGTTAGGTATGGATTAAAATCATTTTTTTAGTATATTTTGATAGAAGTTGACGAAACGTGTGGTTTGAAAAATTGTGTGATCTATAAAATATATGGTTAAAATGAATTGTTGACTTTTACTTAAATTAAAATCTAGATTTTAATCGATATCAAATAGGGATTTAGTATGAATGATTGCATTGTGTTGAGTATCATTAAAAAAAAAAAAGTTAAAATTATATATTTCGGTCTAATATGAATTATTAAGCATGCCGCAAGAAAGATATTCTTCGGGTTTGATCTCGGACGAGACTACTCCGATCAACATACATAAAAAAAAAATTCTATTATTTACACGAATTTTTTGAACAATCTCATATCCCACAAAATCCTCAACAAAATCGTTAGGTAATTACAATTTCAAAGCGTTGAAGCTTATAAATGAATAGCTTCATTGAATATGTGATTGATAATGACATATGGGACCCTAAAAGTTTATTACATTTGCACATGCTTTTGCTCCAAAAATCAACTTCAGGAATCAAATGTGCCCTACGCTACTTTCATTCATGTTTTTTTCTTTTACTTTTTGACAATTTTAATGAATATTGTTGGAGAAGAGAGATATTTAAAAAAATATTATCTCTCTTCTCCAACAAATATTAAAAAATTCAACCGTGTTATAGTGCCCACCTTAGGGACCGACTCAGGGACAGGAGGCTGAGGTGGCATCATCTCAGCCCTGGATTTCAACTTCATTTTTTTTTCAGATCCAATGGCCGAGGTGTTGTCACCTCGGCACCCTGTCCCCGAGTCGGCCCCGAGCCTGGCCACATTGCATTTTCCTAAAAAATTTGGACAGCAAGCATCGCCTCAAACACTCCGAGAAGATGACATGGCAATATAATTACCTCTTCGATGCCAAAATGTAACATGCGATTGCCGACAAATGGCCCTATTGGAGGCCGGAGTTTAAAGTGACTTGTGACCTTCTGTTTTGAAAGCTATATTTCCACATGGGGTATCCCACTTGTCACTTCAACCAATGGGAACCTTAGATTAAGGATATGTTAGAGTCTATAAATAATTTTAAAAAATACCCTGTGTACCTAAAATTTTCCACAAATCTTTTACAGGATAGGCACATGGGGTGAACTCTATGTGAATATCTTATTGGGATGGGCTCCACTACAAGGTGTGTTCTATAAAACATCTGTATTATTTTTTTTTAAGTGTAGCATTACTGAATAATGTAAGATACAAATATAAATAAATAATTTTGGATTGTAATAGTCGAGAAAGTCTAACCCTGATTGTCAAATTGCGCAAGCCTTTTTATTTTTTTCTTATAGTGGAGTTGCATGTGAAGATAAACCTACAAAAAACCAAAATTCTTGTTTCGACAACTGATTAAATGTACACTTGCTGTGATTCTATCTCTCAGGTGATCGAGTAACTTTTCACTAACATCGTTCTAGTCATATGGATATATATATATATATAACATACGAGCTTCAATTGCCACGACATAAAAAATAAGTTCATAATTGAAACTTTTCACTAACATACTAACTATTTGTCCATAAAAAAAATAATTCAGAAATTGAATTATTCTAGCCCATTAATAGTGTTGATAAACTTTTACAAGGGTTGGGACAAACCCAACGTGCAAGTCTTTGTTAAGCTGATGACAAATAAAGTGCAAACCCCGTGAGCCATGTTATAAGTTGATTATTTTCTTGATTTTAAGTGGTGCTTATGGATAGTGGCTTATAAGTGATTGTAACGTGGCAACCACTTATAATTAACAAAGGCTTTGTGCATTCATACCACGCATTGTTCAATATAGACCAATAGATTCGTATATCTAAATGCACATGTAGGGGGCTATTGCGCATTCACATCAAATATTAATTGCCGAATCCCAAATGTTACCCTATTATCCAATTTGGAGTCCCCATCCGCTTACTTAATCGAGTCGAGCTAAGTCGATCTTGAATTTTAACCAAAAGAGTTTGAGTCGAGCTCTGCAAGTAAAGCTCGTGGACTTTGCGAGCCAATAAATTATGCTAAATCGAAAAGTTTGTTAACCGACTTGACCAATTGCCGTCTCCAATTTAGAGTCAATAAATTTTCAGGCCGGCTTTTCTGCCTAATTTGTTGGGGAAAATGTCAAAATCTTATCCTTCAATTCATCTGAAAATTTGACTTGTCTGTTTGCAAAGGCAATCAAATCAAACAGAACACGATAGGTATGGTTTGTAATAATTTTTTTTCTACTGGAGGTCACCAAAGTTACAAGTTTATTTCGTCTTGGTTGCTAAACTATAATTATTTCAATTTATGTTTTTATTGATACGGCCATTTTGTCTATAACTAGTGCCAAATAAGTGGTAGATTTTGCAGTCTGG